GCCCCCAGTGGACTGGATGATGCCTGCTCACATTGGAGAGGACAGACCTTCTTTACTCAATCTAATAATTAAAGTGCAAATCTTTTCTGGAAACACCCTTTGAGACACACCCAGGAATACTGTTTTACCAGCAATGTGGGTATCACTGATACCCAAGTTAACATATAAAATTAATCATCAAAGACAATTTCAAGTGAAAACTGTGACTCCACTGACCATGGAGATGGGAAGATGTGCTCACAATTATACAGTACATTCACCATATAGATATGATTTTATTTTTTATTTTTTTGAGACAGTCTTGCTCTGTTACCCAAGCTGCAGTGTAGTGGTGCAGTCATAGCTTACTTCAACCTCAAATCCCTGAACTCAAGTGATCCAACTGCCCCAGCCTCACAAAGCACTGGGATTACAAGCATAGCTAGAACTACAGATGCATGCCACCAGGCCTAGATAATTAAAAATGATTTTCTAAATAGAGATAGAATCTCACTATATTGCCTAGGCTGGCCTTGAACTCCTGACCTCAAGAGATCCTCCAGCCTCAGCCTCCCAAAACACTGGGATTACAGGTATGAGACACTGCACTAAGCCCCACACAGATACAACTGACATAAATAATTTCAAAAGCATATGCAATAGTACGATGAAGTATGATATTTGGGTAGTAATAAGTTTTGAGTATATAGTTTGAGTATTTATATATTTTGTATAATTTTTATAACATATACTGTTATTTAATATACTTTAATTGTAAGTTTATGTCATTTAATTTTTAAAAATTGTAGTCCTTGAATATTGACTTTTATGCCTATCCCTTGTCCCAGATGGCTATTAAACCAAAGCTCAACTTCAACAGACTTGAGAAATGTTCTCAGAGTAAATGAAGTTTTAGTGGCCACTTTCATGGTTCCCACCTTCCCTTAGATTTTGACTTGGCTTTTTCTTAGTATGTTGCCAACTTTTTGAGATTTTTAAGGGAGAGAGAGGAATGTAACATACACACACACACACAAACACACACACCCACATAGATACATATGTAGTAGCATTTTATTTTTATTTTTCTTTTTTTACTAAGTTTTTTTTTATTATACTTTAAGTTCTAGGGCACATGTGCACAACGTGCAGGTTTGTTACATATGTATACATGTGCCATGTTGGTGTGCTGTGCCCATTAACTTGTCATTTACATTAGGTATAATCTCCTAATGCTATCCCTCCCCCCTCCTCCCACCCTACAACAAACACCCGTATGTTCCCCTTCCTGTGTCCAGGTGTTCTCATTGTTCAATTCCCACCTATGAGTGAGAATATGTGGTGTTTGGTTTTCTGTTCTTGCAATAGTTTGCTGAGAATAATGGTTTCCAGCTGCATCCATGTCCCTACAAAGGACATGAGCTCATCCTTTTTTGTGGCTGCATAGTATTCCATGGTGTACATATGCCACATTTTCTTAAATCAGTCTGTCATTGATGGACATTTGGGTTGGTTCCAAGTCTTTGCTATTGTGAATAGTGCAGCAATAAACATATGTGTGCATGTGCCTTTATAGCAGCATGACTTATAATCCTTTGGGTATATACCCAGTAATGGATTGGCTGGCTCAAATGGTATTTCTAGTTCTAGATCCTTGAGGAATTGCCACACAATCTTCCACAATGGTTGAACCAGTTTACAGTCCCACCAACAGTGTAAAAGTGTTCCTATTTCTCCACATCCTCTCCAGCACCTGTTGTTTCCTGACTTGATAATGATTGCCATTCTAACTGGTGTGAGATGGTATCTCATTGTGGTTTTGATTTGCATTTCTCAGATGGTTAGTGATGATGAGCATTTTTTCATGTGTCTGTTGGCTGCATAAATGTCTTCTTTTGAGAAGTGTCTGTTCACATCCTTCACCCACTTTTTGATGGGGTTGTTTTTTCTTGTAAATTTGAGTTCTTTGTAGGTTCTGGATATTAGCCCTTTGTCAGATGAGTAGATTGCAAAAATTTTCTCCCATTCTGTAGGTTGCCTGTTAACTCTGATGGTAGTTTCTTTTGCTGTGCAGAAGCTCTTTAGTTTAATTAGATCTCATTTGTCAATTTTGGGTTTTGTTGCCATTGCTTTTGGTGTTTTAGACACGAAGTCCTTGCCCATGCCTATGTCCTGAATGGTATTGCCTAGGGTTTCTTCTAGGGTTTTTGTAGTAACATTTTAAATTTTTGGTAAGAGAGTTGATTCAAATAACTGAATCTGCCATTTCCCCCCAAAATAAAAGTTTCTCACTTAAAAAATTTTCTAAATGTTGTCACACTGTATTATGCAATTTTTTCATTTAGCATTGTTTCTGAAATTTATCTGTGTTAAATTTAACTAACACATCTATATTCGCTTTCATATAATATTCTATTGTTTGAATACACCAGATTTAATGGTCTGTTATCCACGTGATGAATAGTTTGACTTCTAAATTTTTTACTATTTCAAAATTCTTCTGAAGATATGCTGATATATGTATATATCTCTCCTAGTGAATGTGTATGAATTTTTTTCTAGGAAATACACCAATGAATAGAAGCATTCAGTTATAGGATACAGACATTTTCAAGTTTGTTAAATATTGGAAAATGATTTTTCCAATTTGTAAAAATTCTCATTTGTACCAGCAGTATATGAAAATCTTACATTACTCTACATTCTAACCAACATTTTGCTACTTTTAAACTTTAATTTACAAATCTGATGAATAAAAATTGTTTACTTTAATTTTTAAATTTACAGTTCCTAGTAATGAAGTGGAGCATAGATCCATAGATTTCTGTTTTCTGGATGAGAAGACTAACCTAACTAAATAGGTTAGTATAACCTTTATACACAAACAGATGAGGATAATTCAGGAAAGGGGAATTTTAGGCTACTGTCTTGAGATCATACATAGAAAAGTGTAAAATATCATATTGGTGGCCAAGGTAGGAGGATCACTTGAAGCCAGGAGTTTGAGACCAGACTGTAAAATATAGCAAGACCCAATCTCTATAAAAAGTAAACAAACTAGCTCTGTGTGATGTGTGTCTATAGTCCCAGCTACTCAAATGGCTGAGGCGGCCTTGAGGATCACTTGAGCCCAGGAGTTTGAGGCTGCAGTAAGCTAGGATTGTGCCAGTGCACTCCAGCCTGCGTGACAGAGAGACCCTGTCTCTAAAATACATAAATAAATAAAATATAACATTGGTAAATCAAAAACACCAATATATTTGAAATGCATGTAATGACAAAGTTGAATTCATGCCAGGGAATCATGGGTGGTTTAACATTAGATGTGTTATACATCTTCTGCCAAGTCAACAACAATAAAAGGATTAAGAAAGTAATGTGCCCTTCTTAATGTATGTTGAAACAGAATTTTGATTTTTTAAAAAGATTGACCAAGTAAGAACTCTGTTAATATGATCATGTGTATGCATATAAAACCTGTATCAAACATCTAATGAGGAAATTTAAAATCAGAAAAGCAGCAAGGGGGCCGACTGTAATTTTATTATTATACATTTACTTGGAGTCCTAGCCAGTCCATTACTTCGATAAAAAAAATTACTGATTGGAACTATTAGGAGTTAAATACAACATTTTATTATTCAGAGATGACAATGCTATCTTTAGAAATAACCTAAGAAATAGATACAGATATTAATCAGTAAAATTTCACCAAGGATGGTGGACATAAGAGCACTATACAAGAAATTGGCTGGGCACAGTAGCTCACGCCTGCAATTCCAGCACTTCGGGAGGCTGAGGTGAATGGATCACTTGAGCTCAGGAGTTCAAGACTAGCCTAGCCAACATGGTGAAACCCTGTCTCTACTAAAAATACAAAAATTTGCAGGGCGTGGTTGTGTGCACCTGTAGGTCTCAGCTACTCGGGAGGATGAGGCAGGAGAGGCTTGAACCCAGGAGACGGAGGTTGCAGTGAGGCGAGATAGCACTACTGCACTCCAGTCTGGGCAATAGAGTGAGACTCCATTCAGAAAAAAAACAAAACAAAAAAAAGAAATCAGTTAAATTTCTCTGTGCCAACAAAGAATTAAAATATTCAAGAGTATAATATTTTAAAAGATGTTATTTTAATAGCAACCAAATACGTAAATTAATTGTATTGAAAATGCTTTTGAAGACATTCTATAAACTGTAAATTATGCTCACGAGTGGAAAAAGTTATAAGATTGTCATTTCTCCCATTAATCTATGAACTAAAAATAATTCTAATCAAAATCCTAAAAGGTATTTTCATGAAATGTGACCATATGGTTTTAATATTTCTATAGAATAAAAGGACTCTAATGTGCCAAAACAATTTTAAAAACAAAAAGCTAAGAGGATGGAGGGAGGGTGGGGGGGGTAACCCATAAGATATAAATAATATTTATAAACCATGTTAATTGAGCCAGTTTGATAGTACTGCATAGAGTGGCAAATATGCCAATGAAATATTAAATACATATTAAATTATATTTCTATATATGCATACATACATGTGTATATACATGTGTATACATATATGTGTATATATGTGTATACATACATGTGTATATACAGGTGCATACATGTATGTGTATATACATGTGCATACATATATGTGTATATACATGCATGTACATATATGTGTATATATGCACGTGTACATATGTATATGCATACATGCGTACATATGTGTACATGTACATGTGTATACATATGTGTACATGTATACATATATACAATATGTACACATATATATGCATAAATACATATGGGTGGTTTAACATTAGAATATGGTTTTTTTTTTTTTTTCACTCTTGAAAGTTTTATTTCACTAACTTCAGGCCAAATTTCCACAACTGTGTTCTGGTCAATTTCTTATCCTTGCTTGGCTTCCCCAAATGCTAGTACCAAAAGATTTGTGGGGTAGGGAGAAGAGACCACTTTAAGAAGCACTGCATTTACTCATCTTCCACAAGGCAACAGAGTTGGGCATCTGATTGTTCAACAAAACAAAGCTTTAATAGCATCCAGGAGGGCAGACAGGCAAACCAGGTTGTAGACACTCTTCTATTTGTCAAAATCTGACCAGAGAAAACCTACTCCACACAGATATAATAGGTATTGATTTTCATCTTTTCTTTTTCTGTTGCCACAACATTTTTCTTCTTTTAATGATCATATCAGGTAGTTTCTCAAGTCCTTCCTTTAGGCCATCTCCTATGATTGCACAGGTAGGCTGCAAATGCCAAGGAGTGGATGAGCTCAGTTCACCCATTGCTAACAATTTCTCAATTTCTGAAAGAGACAATGAGTTCCTCAAGTCTTGTTTGTTAGCAACTATAAGTACAGGGACTCCTTGATTTTCTGATATCCTAGTTATTTTGTGAAGTTCAGTTTTGGCTTCCTCCATCCTTTTGACATCAACAGAGTCCACAACAAATACAATGCCATCTGTGCATCTGGTATATGACTTCCACAGTGGCCTTAACTTCTCCTGACCACCTACATCCCAGAAGTGAAACGTGACTGTTTTAGAATTTCCCAAGGTTACCTTAATTTTCTCAGTGTTAAGTCCTTTGGTAGGTACGGTATTTACAAATTCATTGAACTGCAGCCTGTATAAGACAGTTGTCTTTCCAGCACAGTCCAAACCCAGAATAACAATGTGGAAGGACTGAAATGAAGGCAGGTTGGACAGGATAGAAGTCTGGTCTGATAGCCCATTCCCCATTTCCAGGTGCAAATAAATGTCCCAAATTGAAGTGCTTTTCTCTTCTTGCTTTAGAACTTCTCTTGGTAGCTGATTCAGCTATAAGACTGTTCCCAATCCGGAGTCTGGGTCCAAATGAGAAAGCATTGGTAAGCGTTTCCACGCAGGGATAAGCACCCCCACGTCTTTCCAGCTTAGCTCTCCAAGCAGCTCTCAGAATATGTTAAACTGATATGTAAAACAAATAATATTGTAACCTTTCTGACTGAATCAGAATTAGAAATCTGGAGCCTGTGGAACCTACTCCCTGCATGTCCCTTTTTCTTAATCCAGGTACTCCTCTCCCTATTCCATCTTGGTAGACTCTGAGACATTACTTCAATGTCCTGAAGCTCTATGGAGAAGTTTTCAAGAATTTTCAAGAAGAACTTGAAAATCGTCAGCTCACTGCAAGCCAACCTTTTTCTGGAAAGGGCCAGATAGTAAATATTTTAGGCTTTACCTGCCATGCAGCCTCTAGCTTACTACTCAAGTGCTGTTGTAACATGAAAGCTACTTTAGACAATATGTTTGTTCCAATAAAACTTCATTTACAAAAACAGACTGTAAGGCAAATTTGGCTGGTGTATCATAGTTTGCCAACCCCTGGAAGGAGGTTGTAAGTGAAGGAACTTAAAAGCATAGAGTTTTATTATCAAAAATAAGTCTAATAATCTTCCTATGGGTCGGGAAACCAAGGCCCTAAGTAATTCACTTCAATATACGTCGTAATTTGTGGCCCACATAGTTAGCAAAGGGTTACACAGAAGACATTTAGTTAAGATGGTATCTTGTTCCTATTCCAACTTTCTTTTATAGTAAAATCTTTCCACTCTCACCTCTCTCCAGGAACCTTGAAGAATCACGTTCTTCCTAGGAATTACAAATCCCCTGATTCCATGTCTAACATAATTTCTACTGGCCTCTTTGCTTCTCTTGCTTTAGTACCAGTTCTTCTGAATTTGAAAGTCTTCATGCAAATTGCCCAGGTAAATCATTGCCCCAATCTTAGATGGTCTGGGCTCTTAAAATGTTTCCTTCCATTACTCCTTAAAATGTATCTTTGCTATGTCAGGTTTGAGGTAGTTTCTGTCAGAAGATTGGGCATTTGGGTAAATTCAAGTCTTCACTGCAGTTTTTACTGCCTGTGACTCAGGGTCTAAAGATTTATTCTGCTATTTTCGCCTGTTATTTTCTACAGTGGTAAATCACCTTGCAGATGCCAGGGCAGACCTCATCTTTCTTTTGTATGTGACAGTCGTATCAGTCGGAATGGGCAAAATCCTATTGAAATAGACAAAGCCGAAACCTTAGTGGTTCAAAACAACAATATATTCCACTGTAAAGCCTTTGGGAGTTGGTGAGGGGCTCCACTCCTCCTCATCACTGTCCTTACTCTGCTTCTGAAGCTGACAGGGCAGCCACTGTTGAGGAAATGCTGATCACAACATCACAGGGAAAGGAGAATGTAACGAAGCAAGAACTGGCTCTTAAAGCTTCTGCTTGCAGTGACAAGGCTCACTTTTCAATGGCCAAAGCAAGTCAAAAACCCCAACCTGACTTACATGGCACAGAAAAGTCCCCCAGGGAGGGAAATCAGACATTGATGAACTATGGCCAAAATCCAGCTGAGCCAGAAGCTCAGGTCACCAGTATCATTTCTCCTCAGAGGACTAAGAGTCCTCCTGCAAATTAACTCCTAGTATCCTGTCCTGATGTACCGGATACTAGAGGTGGGTACACATATTTATTTTTGGCTTTGCAAATCAAGACATAGGTCTATTCCTTAACAGAAAAGTAGCTTATTATTAATAGGACATTTTAATATGTTAATTGAAAGGACACTTCTATGGGTGGAATATAAATGCCATTTAACATTTCTGAGAACATTTATAGGCTTTGGATGTCCATGATTCTTTACAGAATTTTTTTTCTGTTTACCTCATTTACCCCATCATTCCTGAAATGTTCTCCATGGATCCTTTTCTCCTGCTTCTATCTCAGAGATGTATAGTCTCATCAAAATACACTAAAGGGTTGGTTAAAAATTCAGATTCCTGGGTTATACCTCAAAATAATTTTGGATTATCCTAGAAACCTATGTTTTTATATTATTTACCAGATACATCTTATGACATCAATGTTTGAAAAACACTGGCTTAGATCTTATGCCTAGAGCCTGTCCATGAATTTTTGTAAAATCTGTGGCCAGACTTTTGGGTTGTTAGGGATGCCTTGTTTTCCTTTTCCTTTTTCTTTGTATAATAATAATAATTATTATTATTATTATTTGCACAAATTTGAGGCTTAACCTGTTTGGCTTTGCTAGTGGACATGTAGATAGATAGATTTGTCTTTTGCTCCATAGACTTACCTTGGATAAAAATCAGCTGCCAGAGATAAATATTACTGTTTTATCAATTTATAGGACTTTTTGAGTTAGAAAGGAGAAGTCTGGGGACACAGAGGAAAACTCTCAATATGACTCTCAATTTAAAAAAGTGTGAAATTAACTGGGCATGGTGATGTGCACCTGTAGTCCTAGATACTTGGTAGGCCAAGGCAGAAGAGTCCCTTGAGCCCAGGAAGTCAAGGCTGCAGTTAGCTGAGATTGTGCCATTGCACTCCAGCCTGGGTGACAGAGTGAGGCCCTGTCTCAAACACCACCCATATACACAAAAGAAACATTAATGTGGTGGCCTGTATTTTGACCTTGACACACAGGGCTATAACTAAGAATCTCAAGGTAGGTCTGCAGGTGTAACATTGTAATATTTGCACTTGGGTTTCATTTGGGTGATCACACAATCAACCCATTTATCTCAAATTTAGAATTGATTCCTATTGTCATTCTTGAAAAATTGCACACTGATTTATTCCCATTGAAATGTGCACAAGATGTGAGTGATGTAGATGCAACATCATCACCATCACTGATGCCTCCTCCTCCCCATCCTTCTAATGATTGTGTTGATCTGCATGCTCCTCCCAAAACTGTGCGATTAATATAAACAAAACTTTCACGATCAAGAAGAACATTCTTAGATTAAGGGTATGAAAAAACTTAAAGGATGGATGTTAAAAGCTTATATTACAGTTCTGTTTGCAAAATAAATGAATTACTGGATGTACAATTGTGACATAGTATTTTTTCAAGTGGTTTTATTGGCTTTATCTGAAAAAGTTCCCTGGACTGAATTTCTAGTTTACATCAAACAAGGGTTTTCAACTCACTGTCACTGGCAATGTGAGATCAAAAAGACAAAAACAATGTAATTGAGAGGATCTTCATGCTGCAGACAGTTTTAATGTGTGCATCATTTACTGCAGAGAAGAACAAAGGGATGGAGAAAGAATATATTTTACAGGCTTTGGAGAGTTGAATTCATTGTAATCATATTGTTCCCCAAATTTTTCTTATTTGTGCATATGGTGAAGCCAAGGAATCAGGTGAACTATCCTTGGACAAAGACTCATGAAGTTGCTCTTCATATGAAATCATTTCCTCCTAGGATATAGTAATATACAAGAATTATCCCTTTGATTGTTTTGACTAGTACAGAGTTTGACTAGGGATAGCCCAAAAAAGGACTGTGTGGTGGTCATGCTCAGAAATCTGCTAATTTCTGAGTTTGTGTAAATATCTGTATTCACTTTGCTTTTCACACTGGATGGCCCAACATTATTCCTATGAATTCTTTAAAACCAATTTGTTGGATTAGTTTTATGTTAGATTACAATATAGTATATTATTTCATGAAGAATGCTTGGATTATAGGTATTTCATACTTTGTTACAGTGACATTCTATAACAGCACTACCTGGTATTTCATCTAGGATGATATACCAATTCTATTCTTGGAACCTTATCTGGAATTAAACATCAACTAAGTTCAAAAGTAATTATTTTTTTATTTCAACTCTATAAAGTGTACAACAGGCACTCAGCAATTACAGCTGCAGGAAAAATACAGAGCAAATCAAAGCAGGTTAAGTTTATGAAAAAGTTTTTAATCTACATCAAAAGAGTGCAAGTGGTCAATGACCATTTGATGACAGTTTGTTGCATTCTGACTAACAAAGAACTCTTTCATGTAGAACAAATTGTAAGAGGACAATCAAATAACCATAGCTGTAAGAATACAAAAGAACTGACCAGTTGTAAAAACATCATACATTGAAATAAATTTGATAGATGATGCTTAAAGAAATGTCCCTTTACTCAGAAAGCCCCAACCTCTGAGTCATTGCCAAGGTCCCAGAGCTCTGTCTGTTGATGCAGGGGCAGAGAGGAGGGCTAACAACACGCTTTCAATGTTTTGCTTTCTAGGTCTGTTGAAAACTTGCCTCATAAATGATTTGCATATACAAGAACTCAGAGAAAGCATCCTGTTTTGTTGAGAGGTGCACCAAGTGACTTTTTCATCATTGGTATCATAACGAGGTGTGGTTAGCAGTCATTTCCAATTTTTCTTTTGGGTTGGACCATTGTCAATGGAGTCTATAAAATGAGATATGTTAGAACTTGACTGCACTAATTTATTTTTACAGAATCTGCACAGCTTAGCAAAACAGGAATACCTGTATACAGACTGATAGAATGTCATATATTAATTTGACCTGCACATACATTTATACATTTCACAGAAATGACGCTGTATCTCATTAACAGATACACAGCTCTGGTACATTTAACAGAAATAAGAGAACAACTTCATCATTTCTGTAATTCATCAATATTATATAATAAAGGCTTATAAATTGTTAGCAGAAAGAACTGTAAAACGCAGCAAGCTAAGAAAGGACAACATTTTGAGGTGTGTTTGTCTTTGTCATGCAGCATAACACCAAATTTGTTTTTTTAATAGGATGCCATGAATTTAAGGCACTTGCAACAATGCCAGATAGCCAGGTCATGTTCTAAACTATGGGACAGATGAATAACAGTACAGTTGACATAATTTTCAATAATACTGACAATTATGACATTAATTCAAGTCTACTTGGACCTAAAAACATTATTCAATACAAATAAAATGAAATAATAATGCTGTGAAACACTAAAAAAAGTTATATGTACCACAAAATATCACACAAAAATATCTATTTACATAAATATTTGTCTGTGGTCCTATTGTGAAAGAAAAAGTTGTTATGGATAATGCACAGATCACCTCTATTGTATGAAATCAGTTCTAATATCTTTATTTTCAATATGGTAGCTGACTTCATTAAATTTGTTTACCATCAGTTCAGTAATTTATAAATGAAACAGAAAAAATTCAATAGTTGAGTTTATTACTACACATGTGTAATTCACATGCATATTCCACAACTTTAGGTAAAAATTATGACTTGTAAAGATATAATTAGAATAAATTTATTTTGAATGCCATATGGATCTGATTCATATCTTAATAAGAAAGAAGATATAAACATAAAAATCATGTATAGCATTTTTCCAGAAATTATTTTTTCAAATGTATTCAATCCATCTCAGTTATTTTAATGTTGTTTCCCTTGGCAGTTTCAGTTTTCCTGTGAGTCAAGACACACAGAAAGCCCTTATTTCCCATACTCAACACATTAACAAGAAAATCATAAAACAAATCAAACAAGTTGGCACTATTCTAACTTATGCAGATGTTCTTTAGTGTAAGAAAATAGAGGGGTTGTGAAAAATTCAGAAATAAAGTGAGATGCACTTTATGGAACTGACCATGAATTTTAGCCCTAGAGTCTTCATTAAGACAAGATTTAAATCCTAGAAATTCAGTGTTGAAAATTAGATGAATGTTTTCTGTTGGTGCATCTTGGAAGATGTAGTTGACCTTTATTTTGTGATGATTGCTTCAGACATCAAATGCAATGCTATGGGTGAAATGAACAAAGATGCAGTAACAAGTGGAAGAAACAATCTACAGTTACATTGTGCTGAATGCTACTTCTTCCTTCTCCATTGAACGTATTCATATTGGTTGTCTTAGACTTGAACCATAGTTCCAAAATCCATAGTAAGTCCTAATCTCTGGGACTTTGCAGATTTTTAAAAAGTTACAGAAGCAGATTCTCTTTCCAAATAACAAGGTGAACTTAATATTCTAGCAAATCTTTAGCATGCCTAAACCACATTATCTTTCAACAAAATTTACTGAACATTCACTATAATGTTGGAATCATATATTTTTAAAAAGCCAATTAAAAATATAAAACTCTTGGAATAACATTCATAGCTAGATTTTAAATTGATATGTTTAATTTTATATTCTAAAATCTGTAGAAAACAGTGGATATCTTGGGGAATAGACCAATTTGGAGAAATTGTAAGAGAGGGAAAACCCCAGAAACAAAAGAATAACAATAATATTTTAGGATTAAAGTTTTACTTGAAGTTTATTCCCTTTTCATTTTATCCTCCAAAATTTTGAGAATATTATATTTTCATAAGATATCATATTCTAAGGTAGTTCTGAGTAAGAACAATTCAAGCAAAATTTATAATACTTGCCTTCTTAGTTAAGGTGTAATGATCTAATTGGATTTTTTCTTCCAGAAATATAGGCATTTGATTGATTAAAAAGAAAACTCTACTGAAAAAAAAGCAAGCCTCAATTTAATATAACAAATTCACACACAGTGCCAAAACAGAATGACAGCTTGAAAGCTTCTATATTTTTCTTCATAGGTATAATGCAATTTTGTCCAAGAAATGCTTCCAAATGGCTGAGTTACTTATGACAGCTAATAATAGTCAACTGGCCTGCCAGTGAAGGACTCAGTTTAATTTGTGGATTCTTTTCTCCATGTGAATAAAGTAAATCAGCTTGACATTTTCAAATCTAGTCTTTTTTAGGTAGTATGAAATTGCAGAATTGTAGGAATTCTGTTCTATTTAAAATTTATTTTTTTAAAAAATCAGGATCCTGTTTTCCTCTGTACTGCTTTCTTACTTAGACAAGTTTACGGACTCAGCTAATTCACAAAAAAGGAAATCAACACCTGGCCAGGTTCTTGTTTTGTTTTCTGACCTCAAATAAGTAATGTTCCTGGTCTCGTAAACCCGTAAATCTTAACTTTGACTTTGGGCTTTCTTTCTTTGTCTTTTCTACTTCTTTTATTTTTGTTTTTCATTCCTGTTTTTTGTTTGTTGTCTGTTTTTCGGTTCAGGCCTAAGACAAGAAGCTAGTTCAAATTGGTTTATGATCACCTTTGTCTCTCAACTCTAGACTGACTATGTTGTATAAGTGAAATTGGACAGGAGTTTGGTTTAATAACTTCAGTGAAAATGCTTGAGTTTCTGGCTACACATACAATGATTTGAATTTGTGTTGTCTGTTCAGACACTGACATTTACAGATGAAAGATATACATAGCACCTATATAGTTTTTATTTATTTTTTGGATGAATTTTAATCCCTCCCCATTCCACCCCACCCCAAGGGTTTATTTTTATAAAAGGGAATACTTTAAGCCTCAGTTTGAGGGTATGTTAGGTAAAACCAATTGGCTGCTAGTCATTTACTTCCAGGACCATCTTTAAGCACAATATGTTAAAAAATATGAAATGATTTTGTGAATTGCTTTTTTCCCCCACTCTATCATGCCAATTTATCAAAAAAAAAAAAAAACAAATATCATGCATTATTTTTCAGTCCTCTGTGAAAACGTATATATACCTACTATGAGAGGTCTCAGCAGAATCTATAGCAGTTGTGCTTTTATCATATCATTTTTTAAAATCTGTCAGAAAGAAAAGGTAACATTCAGTCTTGTCATCAGCACTGCTGGGAAATAAAATCATGAAACTTCTAGCACTGGTGTGACATGAACTCTGTGACCAACAGATGTGTGGTCCTCTTTTGTATGGTATATACACCGGCCTGCAGTAATAGATCCCACAGCCTTCACTTGAAGAAAGGGAATAGCCCAGTTTCTGTACCATAGTAATCTATTGTACCCAATATATTATTCTTTCATCTTCTTGAATATTCTAGCAAGGTACAGACTCCTATACTAGATTGAAGTGTTTCCTACAGTCTTTCAAATTATAATCAGAGCAAAGCAAGGTCATTGCAACAATAGAAAACATCTCTTTACTGATGAAAGGCTTTGCTTCAGGACCACCATGTCAACTGCTATTTTAGGTTCAAACAGAAAACATGTAAAGAGCACTATTGTCATCTAAGCAATAAGTCCTAATGCCACTGTAGTTACTGGAGCAGCATCGATCAAAGGCATCATGGTGACCCCGAGCACTAATCTTCTCTCTTTCCCTCAGGTTTGCTGGCAGCTGTGTCTCAGAAAAAGCTGTCTTCAGCAAGGCAGAAGCAGGTAAGAGAAATACATTAGAAGTCTATGTCCCATCCTGAGTTGTCATCAGGTGGTGGTTCATCGTTGTCCTCAGGGAAACTGTCAAAATTGCTTGTATCTGTGGGTGATGCAACCTGTACAAAATGGACAGTTTTGTTTTAGTGGATTTTTTTTTTTTTAGTGGAATTCCAAGCTGGAATTTTTAAGTGCATTCTGTATTTATCCCCTATTAGGGACTATTTTGTTGACTATCTACTATGTAGCAGGTATTGAGGGTCACACTGATGAGTACAAATAGACATGGTTCTTATCCTCAGAGAGTTTATACCCTTGTGAGTAATAAATTGTCTGATTAAAACAAATAATCACAAAAATCTTTCTATATAATAAATTTTGGCTAGAGCTATGGAAACAAAGATGCCACAGAAGTCTAAGAGTAATCATATAGGCCCAGCGTGGTGACTCACGCCTGTAATCCCAACACTTGGTAGGCCGAGGTAGGAGGATCACTTGAGATCAGGAATTCAAGACCAGCCTGACCAACATGGTAAAACTCTGTCTACTAAAAATACCAAAATTAGCTGGGCATTGTGGTGAGTGCCTGTAATCCCAACTACTCAGGAGGCTGAGGCAGGAGAATTGCTTGAACCCGGGAGGCAGGGGTTGCACTGAGCTGAGATCGCGCCACTGCACTCCAGCCTGGGTGACAGAGTAAGACTCCATCTCAAAAAAAAAAAAAAAAAAAACCAAAAACAAAAAACTGATCATGTAAAGACTCTTTGAAAAAGTGTTATTTTATTTTATTCTTTTTTTAGAGACAAGGTCTTTCCGCTCTGTCACCCAAACTGAAGTATAGTGATGCAATCACAGCTCACTGTCACCTCAAATTCCTGGGCTCAAGTGATCCTCCTGCTCCAGCCTGAGTAGTTAGGACTATAGGTGCACGGACTATAGGTGCACATCAGCACACCTGGTTAATATTTTCTTTTCTTTTTCTTTGGAGAGACAGAGTCTCACTATGTTGTCCAGGCTGGCTGGTCTTGAATTCTTGAACTCCTGGCCTCAAGTGATCCTCTCACCTATATATTTTTGTCTGCGTTTCTATCTTTTGAACATTTCCCATACTAAAAATTAACTTATGTTCATAAATGAGGGAAACTTGATTTAAAATGAATAGTTAAAAAAGATAAGAGTAAAACACAATTATAGCAACTATCTCCAAATGTATTTGCTTTTAAGCTTGGATTTTAGAATATGTCATTATTTTAATGTGACATTTTTCCTAGAGTTTGTTTAACCTAATCATAGGATTAAACTTTAAAAATAACAGATCATTGTTGACTGACATAAACACCATCAAGTGTCTCACACAATTATAAGCTGGAAAGTCTACTTACGCTTGGTATTATAGGAGGTGTCAAGGTACCTTTTCTTAAGCCTTCCCAGTTAAAGCCCTCAAACCATCTAGAAAAGGAAAAAACGTCGATAAAGACATTTTATGTCAGCTAAAACCTTCTTGTTGCGATGTATACAATGTCCATGGCTAATGGGAAGCAGTTAGGCAAACATTTTCATGTGACAAAAATGTTTTCTATTGAATTACATATGTTTTTCCAATTAGTTTATTTTATGAAATACATATTTTTAAAAGTATAACTGTCAAATTTTAAACATCAATGAACATGCAACACTTTTTCCTTGTAATTCAGTCGTAATGTCTCTATGACCTTGTTCCTACACTATAATTATAATTTAATAAATGTCAAAATGTATCTGGCCCTGTGTCTTACAGGATATTTGGAGGTAGAACCAGGGCATGAAAAGTCAGGATAGAAAATTAACTTTCCATTTTTGCCACTGATTCAGTGCACAATGTCAGCTAGTTAACCTTTTCGCATCGTTGTAGTAGTCTCTACATGTCCCATTTTCCTCCTTTTTTCCCTTTTTTAATGAAGAATAAAGGTTTTTTGTGTACAGTTTTTCTGTGAAAATAAGGACCAAAAAAGACTAAAGTTTTTGCTTGTTTGTTTTCTTTTGTCTTTGAAGGGTTTCCCCATCAGCAAATGCTTACAACAAATTCTTAGCAGGCTTTTCAAATATTCAGAGTTATTTTAGTAAACATTTTTCTTTGATAAGGATGTGAATTTCCTGTCAGTGTTACACAAACAAATAGAGAAAAACCAATTAGTTTAGCTTTAGAACATCCAATCAACATAGGAAAGGTCTGATATTTAAGATGTTGCTATTGTTTAAAAAACACTGTATTCTGTGCTTATGTTTTTCTCTTGTTATAACATCTAATTAGGAAATGCTTAAAAAAATATATTTTGTCTTTAGGAAATCAGGTAAGATACAGTAGGGGACTTTTGTTTGTAATACTGTGGCAGAGAATAGAATCCCCGAATTTAAAATACACATTTCCTCTTTGTGCCAGAGAGGAGGAAAATGCTAGTTGGTATGAGTTGTAAGAAACTGAGTTCAGTGAATTCAGTTTCTTATGTTACAGCGTTGTCAGATAAATATAAACAAAGTTTCATAATCACAACTAGAAAGGCATTTAAAAGCCTAACTAGTTTATATGCTGTCTTTGGATGTTCCTATAGGCTAATTACACTAGTTTTACACCAATAACTTAAAAAGCAACACCCTGGGGAAAAGATGGCAGGTGTTCAGAACTCTGAAACCTAAAATTATAAGGAAAGAACACTTACTTGTGCTTTTGAATGTCTTTTACTCCATTTTTCAAATTCCCTAATCTTTCTGATGGATTGTCCCTAAAAATAAAATAATGGTTTTATTAAATCTATTTTTTTCACATTATGATCTTTTCAAAAATAATATGGTTGAAATACTTGCCTGCATAGTTTTTTAATTAAATTAGCAGCATTTTTGGCAATCTTCTTTGGAAATTCTATCATGTCAATCCCCCTCAATATGATATTATAGGTTTTCATAGGATCTGGGCCTGAGAAAGGTGGGCTGCAAGAATGAGAGACATGACAAGAGATATTACTTTTATTTCCTACATGACAACACTTGAATTGCTATAAACTCCACAGATGACATCAATTCATATTGGGAGGCTTAGATTAATAGTGACAATGGAATGAAAGTAGATTAATAGCAAAACAATGTGTAAGCCCTTCCAAGTAAATCGCTTAGCAAAACCAGAAATGGGTCAAGTTTATCTGCTGTTCTCCTGATTTCTTTTCAGTGCTGGAGTCTAAGCCCTCATGCTGTCCTTGGTCATTCAAGATGCTTCTTTCACTCTCTGACCTTTTACACACTTACTGACTCATTAATTATACTTGAGATGAAGTCCAAAATCATTAGGGGGGCCACAGGAACACCAATGATACTACCCCATCTCATGCCATTACCACCCTCACTCACTGGGATCCAGAACCAATAGCCTTTCCTCTGTTCCACTGAAATGCCGAGCACTTTCCTACCTCATGGTGTTATTTATTTGGCTTGGAAGATTCTTCCCACATTCATCTGGCCAATGCCTCACTTTATCAAGTTTCAGTATAAGTGTTATGTTGTTTCCAAAAAGGCCTACTCTGGTTAACCTATTACAACCAATTACATAATCTATATCAACCCACGTAACCTAACAATCTAATTTCATGCTCTAATTTAAAGTTTAATCTAAATTAGAGTCCCTGTTACACTTTTATAGCACCCTTACGCCATTTACTGTACTTTGTAATTATCTTTTCATTTGTGTGATTATTTATTTTATGTCTGTCTTCCCTTCCAGAAGTTTGTTTTCTGCTGGTATTCCAGAGTTGAATAGAGTTTGCAGCATGTACATTCTAAGGGGTCAATAAATATTTATTGCTCTAATGTTTCTATAGAATAGTACTCCTCTTATCCTTTTCTCTCTGCTCAGAGGACCTCATTAAATAACTTAATACTAGGCATCCTCTTTGCTAGCAAGGCTGTAAAACCCCAGCCCTCATGAGCCAGATCTGTTGATTTTTTTTTTTTTTTTTTAACCTATCCATTCTTGAAGTGTGGTTTGTGGCAGCTTCAGTGAGTACAAAGATGACTAAAGTCAGGTCTTTCCGTTAAATTTCTCACAGTTCAGAGGGGAGATGATGATACCCCTTGACGAATGATTTATTTGGAAATTTAATTATTCTCTTTAATACAAGTTTTGTGTGTCTTTGGGGAAGAAATCTGATTTATTATTATTTTTTGTCTTTCATGTTTATTAAGAGAAGTTCAAACTATTTCTTGTTATCAAGCAGTCTAATGAGTAATTTAAAGTAAGGAGTAGCAGATTTACCTGTGTTAAGGGCTATGATGGATTCTGCCTTGATTTTCCGTGAAAAGTGCTATTTACTTTAATATGTCATTAGCTAGTAATTACCTATTGATTTTAAATCACTTAAAAATGTATAAACATGCAAATCTATTTAGTATTCTCTTAGAATTTAAAAATTTTCTCTTTATGTGATTCTATGGTTGAATATTATCTTTAATCTCTTAACATGCCAGTTTTCATTTTTACTTTAAAAAATGAGGAGGAGCCAAATCTTGGCAATGATTTCTAATTTATGGTTTTGCCTTTATATTTATTTTGCTTTTATATTTACTTGCTTATCTTAGACAACTAAAATCAATTATTAAATATGGTATTTGTGGCTTTTATGTGATGCATGTTAGTCTAATATTCATTCAATATAGAAAACAAAATTATTTAGAAGAAAGTCGTCCAAAACCTCAAAATATTCAGAATGATCTACATTTGATAAACATAATTTCACAGATTTCTCTGTAGATTGTATACACAAAGGATTATATTATGCATATTTTTAAATTAAAAAATATTCGATTTAATTTTACTTTAGTTAAACTGAGGAGTAAAATGAAAAGAAATGCTAAATTTCAAACATGTGTGCTCCTTAGCCAATATTAATTCCTTAAATATTTCTCTAAAATTAAAAAAACATTGCTGAGTTTAGAGATTTCTGTAATGACATATTTTAACTGTAAAATATATGTAAGATTACTAATTATTAATGATGAGAAATAACTATACCTATAGTTATACCTGCTTTCCCTCCCACCTTAATGTTTGTTGGTTTTAGTGTTATTTTAAGATTGCCAAACACTACAATGTTTACATTCTGTTCAGTTACCCAGATTTAAGTTATTTGATTTAATAATTGATCAGTTCTAATTAATGAGACCCAAAGCTCATCATCAATCTTTTTACTAGTTTCTCTATTCCTGAATGCTTTATTTTGATTCATCTTTTTGTTGGCTTGATTGAATAGTAGTGTTTTTGAGAAACACCTGGGGTCCACACTTTATATGTTGTGTTTGTATTTGAAGAATAACTTAACTCAGCATAAATTACTTACTTGGGTTATACCTTCTCTGACCCTCAGAACTACGTAGTTCTTGATATACTATCTTTTGGCATTAAAAGTGCTGTAGAGAAGGTTGAGGCCAACTGGAACTTTAACTGTCTTGACTCCCAATACCACACATGCCATGTTTTTATGGCTTTGATGCCAATAAGACTATTCCTTATTAATGAATTTAATTCATTAGTTCACCACATTAACATATTGTGGTGTTATTATTCTGAATCAGTTTCCTCATGGTCACTGCAGATCAAAAAGATACACTGAGTCAAGTCTTTCTGCCATGTATTTTCTATTATGTAATTAAAGATATTTTTTCTCCTGTTTGTAATATTCTATTCATACACATAATTGATGTTTTTTTCTATTTCTTTTGACTAATAGATTCTCTTTATGAAATCATATCTATATTTTTTCTTTTTTCATTATTTTTTCCAAGCCTGTCTACTCTCTCCCTTGCTGCATTTTTAATTGTTACTATTTTATTTTCTGTTCTTATGGCATGACTTTCAGTTCTGTAATAGTCCTGAGCTCTGCTAGTTACTTGTCTTCCCATTTATGAACACTGGCAAATATCTTAGACGTTACTTTTTAGGGAGCTCATGCTTTTGATAGCCTCAAAGAAATTATATATAAGAGTTTATCTGAACACTTCCTCCTATATTTCCTTGATTCATTTTTCTTGTGTGTTCTTTAGCTGCCTTTTACTTTTGCATCTTTCAGCTGACATAAATGGAAAACATCAGCTCAAACTGATTAAAATAAGAAAACATTGAACTTACAAAAGCACATTCCAGAGGTAGGGCAAATTCTAGACCTGGTAGGATCAGTGGTTTAAATACTTGGAGTTTTTCCAGCTTTTCATTCTTCCATACTCAGTATTAGTTTCATCATGGTCATTTCCCCTCATAGTTATAGGAAGTCTACCAGTGGAAATAGGGACCTATATTCATCAGTAATTATTTACTAAGTAGCTATTGTAGAAAAAAAGAATTCTCCTCCAATAATGTATTTTAAAATAATTCCTCTAATTTATGTACCCAGTTCAATAAATGCCAATCACTAGAGGAATGCCATGTGACTGGAATAGAGCCGAATCAAAATCTAAAACGGAGATAAATTCATCTTTTCCTAAGTTGGTGGGGGAAATGGATCCTTGAGCAAAATCAATAAGAAAGGATTTGGTGTGTATGCTTGGAAGGGGGCTGGGGTTGTAAGAGGGGCAGGGACTGGCTTCCCTGGGACCCTTTCTGACTATTACTTATCCTTAGATTGGGCTGCCCACCATGAAGAATAGAACAGGGAAGATCGGAGGTTAGGAAGCAATGAGAAATTCACCAGCCTTCACTACAGTTTGTTGCCTTATAACCAGATCATGTATTTCCTTTGCCCTCAATTTAAGGCATTCAGGGAGGTCATGTGGCTCATACAGAAGCCCCACCACATTCTCTGAAATCATGTGATTACACTGTCTCTCTCCCCTTTTTCACTGCCTGTTGCTTCATTGACCAACATTATAAGCCTTAAAAGGCAGGACTGGTACATTTGTATGAGTTTTCCTTCACCTCAGTTCCTTTTTCATTCTGTAGTACTTAATTATGTCTCTACATGAACAGTGTTTGCTTTTTCAAGGTCCAGCCAATCCTCTAAATGTTATTATTACTATCGAAGATCATTAGATATGACATTCAGGACCAAAAGACTTTGGAGTCATGCTTGTAGTCCAAGAATCATTCCTAGTCACATGTCACACTTCACTGTGTTTGGCAGGTGTGTTTGTTGGAACTTTAATTGTAACTAAAGATCATCCTACTTGTTTTATTCTTGCCTTCTCCCACCCCAAACCTTGGCCACCGTCTTTCACCACCACCATCATTTCTTTGGGTAGAAAAAGAAACGTAAAGATTTTTTAATGCTATTGTCTTTGACTAAAATTCTTTCTGTCTTGTTATTTCTTGAAATGGATATTAAGTTTAGGTATTTTTAATCATAATGTTTCAATATATGTATTTATGGCAAAAAAATTAAGTTTGGTTTTGACCATACAACACAAATTGTGACTTATAGTGCTTGGTTTTTATTGCTGCTCTGCTATTCCATAATTTCTATGTGCCTGAGGTTATTTAGAAAAATGCTTTTTAAAATTTCAAGTATTTAGACTTTTTATTTTAAATCTTTGTTATTGATTCCAAGTTTTATTATATTCCTGTCAGATATTGTAGCCTATGAAATCTGTAAAGAATTAAGGGTTTTTCTGTTACTGATTATTTCTTACAGTTTAGTACATGCCAGTTTTTAAGATTAACGTTTTAATCATTTTTACTTTATTACTTAATGAATAAACAATGATTGTAGAGAAATGTCTAAACATATAAGGTTTAGACATTTCATGGTTAATATTTTAGTCTAGTTATTATAAGTAAATATTTTACTTCCTCAAAAGTAATATTTAGTTTTCTTCTATTCATTATATAATTGGTTCTTACAGCAATTCTAAGCACACAGAAAGATTACTTTTTAATCTATCCCTCTGCTTATTTACCTATCTATCCATCCACATACATATGTTAAATTTAAATTTCTACTTTGTCCAAATTTTTCATACCTTTACAGGTCTACTTAATTGGTCATACTTTTAAAATAATTTACCTCCATCCACAAGAACAAAATTGAACAATCCACATTGAACAAAATTGGATTAGGTCACACATAATTTATTTGAAGTCAACAGAGAAACTTTAACAATAATGTAAAATGCCCATAAATAAAAATAAAATCAAAACACAACTATTTCTGGCAATGATTGTTGTCGTTGTAGCAGTAGCAGCTGCTAACATTCATGGAATGCTTACTATGTGCGAGACACTCTTCTACGTGTTTCATGTATGCACTGAATCCTCACGGAGTACCGTGTGCTCGAAGTCCTCAGTCTTCCTCTCATGTTCACTGTAGTGACTAAGTCCTCTTAAGTAATTCTTCACATCCTGCCTCACACTTACTCTTTCCATTGCCCTTGCCCTACTCTAGGTTGTCAGTGTCCTAGAACTAAATTACTGCAGCAATCTTCAAACTAGCTTCCTATTCCTCTTCCAATTAGCTCTATTACTGCCAACTTGGTTTTCCTTAAATACCGTAATGCATATCACTCAACCTTTGTCAGAAAATCTCAATGATTCCCTCTGTAGATGGAGGCCAAACACTCAAGTGCAGCAATCATGATCGTCAAAAGATAATTGTTCCTGTTTTTTTACATGGACCTTCTCCATATCTGTGACCATTATTACCTTTCTGTTTAAGCCATGCCTGTTTGCCTAGAATACCCTTTTCCTGGTCTCTACATCTAAGTCCTATTCTTCCCTCAAGACACAGCTGCCTTATATTCATTCTTCAAAAGCCTCTTTAGGAACCCAGCCCTATTCTGAAATCTGTATAACGCCCCTGTCACTCACTGTTTTAGCACATGTCATCGTAGTGTATTTGTTGTTCTTTTAGTACGGGTCCTTGAGGATCTTAAAGTCTGCTTTATACCTTGTGGTGTCCCTAGTACCTATTTGAGTTGATGATTATAACATTACAGGAAAGATTTACAAAGCAGTCACCTTTCATTTAGATATAACAGTTGCTAACAGGTCCTCTTACTTCTATAGAAAATTGACTCTAGATATTTTTATATGATTATCATCTTCCCTGTTTCATTGCTGGCTAAATGACTGGGCTAAAATATCTCACAGAAAGACATTATATCCTTCCACATTCATATATGTAAAAAAGAAGTAGCAATAATGAGACCAAAAGTTGGTGCTGAGGTGGTTGCCCTAGCCTGACCTATTTTATACCTTACTTTTCCCGGTCATTCGTATAACTAATTGAACTGTGGTACCAATATATGGTGAAATGTACTTTAAGATGGTTTAATCAGAGTGACAAAAGCGGGCGTGTGTAGCTGTTTGCTGGTCTATTTTTATCAGCAGTTCCCTATCAATATCCATACCTGCCAGTCAGGAGTTCATACATTAGGATTCCCAGTGACCAGTAGTCGGCTGAAATGTCATGGCCTTTGTTCAGGATGATCTCTGGGGCTACGTACTCTGGAGTCCCACAAAAAGTCCATGTTTTCTTTCCAAATCCTATTTTCTTTGCAAAGCCAAAATCAACCTTTCAAAGAGAGAAAAGCAAGATGCTTAAGCTTCTTATGATTACATTTTAAAGTAATAAGTTATTTTGCTGAAGTATACCGATGATCACAATAATTTAAAAACACGCACGTTTTTGTAGTTCTGTCTTCTCAAAGGAATAGTCTGTATTGCAAACAAAGTCTCCCTGAAGAAACTCAGTTTTAATTGGAAAAGTTGACATCTGAGTATAGCATAAAATTCACATCATTAAAAATAAAGGTAAATCTTTCTTTCTGAATATAGTTTTCATTTTTCCTTTGTTTATGCTAATGGAGGTTAGGGTATAAACACAGAATCTCTCTTCTGTACATAAAAATTTTTAAAGACCAGTTGGGCCTACTTAACATCTTTCCCAGAATATATATGATTTCTGCTGGATTTAATGAAGTTGACAATTCATTTAGTATTAATTATTTGAAGTTATTTTATTGTTGCAGGAAGTAAGTAACATAGTTATGAGACCAATGACTCTGCCCTTGGTAAGCATAAACAGAAATAAAATTATAATGTATTCTTCATTTTTCTGGAACTCTTTTGAAGGAAGAGTCTTGACTACAGAAAATCTATTTTTTCTAAAACAATTTGGTTGAAACTACAAATAAAAAACTGCCACTGATTTGATTTCTTTAAAAACCACATGCTGAATAACAATTCTAAAAAGTTTAAAAATGGAATCAAGCTGTAACAGATCCAACGAAAGCTGTGCATTTGTAAATAAGAGAACTTCTCTTCTATGGTAAATCTTTACAACTTTTGACTGTTATTATTATTATTACTATTACATAGCCTGGCTAGCATTGCTTGTAAAGCACATTTTTTTTTTCTGTGACCATTATTCTTAAATCTAAAATATTGAAATGATTTAGAGTTTTCCATAATATAAAAACCCATTGCTCATGAATGGCAAAAAGCTGACTAGAGAAAAGGACTTCTAGGCCTGTACACGTGCCAGTAAGTACGTTTTCTCGTGCTTATAAAAGTGTGTTTTGCCAGAGTATTGTTAATTCAAACTTAGCCAACTTAATTTTTCATAACTGATGCATCATTTGAAAGAACATTCAGTTGAAAATTGTAATGCTAAAACCTGCTTTTAAGAAAGTTACAACATTGAAAAGGAAAACAGATTTCATATTAGCAAATGAACACAGTTTTATAAACAAATATTTTAAATCTGCAGGGCAGAAAGCATGCGTGAAATGCACTGACCAGTTTGGCATAACCTCTGTGATCTAGGATGAGATTTTCTGGCTTGAGGTCCCTGTAAATGATTCCTTTGGAATGCAGATAGGCAAAAGCTTCTACCACACATGCTGTGTAAAATCTGGTTGTAGAATCTTCAAACGAACCTCTGAGATACAGAAAAGGAGTGAAAATTGTACGAAAAATTAGTTTCTCTAATATGGCTTTATTTTTTTTTTCTCATTTCACTATATTCGTTTGCCAAAATTTAACCCAGAGACCACTGTCCTAATAGCTAAATGTTACATGATTGCCATTACATTGGATTTTTTGAAGCATTCAAGGATTAAGTTAAGGAATTCTCTGTCTTTATGAATGGAATAGTTAACTTTCACTTCCTGAAAGGGCGGAAAGAACAGTAAATCACACAACACATTTCATGTACTTAGTGTTTTCTTCTCAACAGCCCACTACAATCTAAAAAGGCACAGACTTATAGCAGTAGGCAGGAGAAAAAAATAATCCTATTTTAGAACTTGCTTACCAAGCATTTGTTTTTTAAAGGAGAAGTTTATGGGTTATTCATATTTATTCTTAGAGGGCCTGTTTTTTAATCTTTCTAAATAATGCACATACTATTCATGAAAATGTGAATAAAAGCTACTGTTTTCAAAGAACCACTCTGGAAATGAGTTGTAATGCTACTGATGCAATCATAATGCAAGCTAAGTACTCTTCTGTTTTTGAAACTCCTGCAACCAAAACAAACAATATCTATCTCCTACACGACTGCATTCTTATTAAGAGGAAAAGATGGACTAAAAGACAATTAGAAAGAAAAAAGTAACTAGAAGGGAATGTTTATTAGTAATCTTGATTATGATGTTTAGCAAAAAGGCTCTCTCTTTCTGTCTCATATATATGTGATATATGGGCACATACATGTTGATTGATTGAATGAAATAATTTACAAAAAAACCTTAGTATCTAAGGTTAAACCCTTCTTTCTAGGGCAGAAAGTTTAAATTTTAACTGTTCCCCCACCATGGTACTTCTTAAATAAACCATGTTCTTTTTTTCTTTCCCAAGTAGTAAGCACAATTTAATAATTTCATTTCATAATTTAAAAATATTAGTGTGAACATCAGCTCCTGAGGTGGTTGAGAAGTAACATGAGTGACAAGCACACAAATGATTTTATTAATAGTGTGCAACAAATGATAGTCTCAGAGCTGGCCTTCATGAGTCTCTGATGCCTGTTTGCATTTTGGTGACACTTTTTTTTTTTTCCAAAGTTGTAGAGTAAAGTTTAACAAACTGGGCAATGAAATATGGTTATATTTTTACAAAATTTAAAAGTGAATCAAGGCTAAAGCAACCACTTTTCAGGCTATCTTTCAGAAAAAGGTAGTATCTTCCAGAAAGAGAATGTCTTTGGTTCAGCTACTAATGTAACTTGAGTTTTTCACTGAAATAATCAGCTTTTCCTAAGAAAAATATCATTCTTCTGAAACATAATTAATTCTAGGCATAATGATATCCATTCCTCTAGATTCTAGAATCTTAACTATAATTACCATGATTCTTGAATCTTTCTTGAATAATATCTGAATGGCACAATTGCGAATTTATGAGCACAAGAGAAAGTTTGAGAATGGCATCCATATGAGGAAACGAATGATATACTTCATGGTACAATTTTCCTCTGACTTGAAGATATCCTTGGCAGAGCTAAAATTCTATAATCGTGTGTATTTGAAAAGGGATTAAAGTATTGCCTTGAAGGTCCTTTCTTCTTTGCCCTTAATTAAGTATGTTTACCTATCAATAGAAGCATGTTTCTTTCACTTGAAGAGATTATTTACCTTAAAGAGTAAGCATCTGTGTAGATATAATTAATATATAGCTTTAGATACACTGCTATGAATTCAATCTGTTCTCAATGGAGAGCATTGCAAAGTAAAACAAAACAAAACAAAATGGAAGAGTAAAGGGAATGGTCTTATTTTATTTCACACTATAGGTCTTGATTTTTTTTTTTCTTTTTCTTTTTCTTTTCTTTTTTTTTTTTTTTTTTGAGATGGAGTCTCTCTCTGTCACCCATGCTGGAGTGCAGAGGCGCGATCTCGGCTCACTGCAACCTCTGTCTCCCGGGTTCAAGTAATTCTGGTGCCTCAGCCTCCTGAGTAGCTGGGACTACAGGCATGCACCACCATGCCCAGGTAATGTATTATGTTTAGTAAAGATGGGGTTTCACCATGTTGGCCAGGATGGTCTCAACCTCCTGACCTCGTGATCCACCCGCCTATGCCTCCCAAAGTGCTAGGATTACAGGCGTGAGCCATCGTGCCCAGCTGAACTCATTCTTTTTTATGGCTGCATAGTATTCCATGGTGTATATGTGCCACATTTTCTTTATCCAGTCTGCCATTGATGGACATTTGGGTTGGTTCCAAGTCTTTGCTATTGTGAATAGTGCTGCAATAAACATATGTGTGCATGTGTCTTTAAGTAGAATGATTTATAATCTTTTCAGTATATGTCCAGTAATGGGATTGCTGAGTCAAATGATAATTCTGATTCTAGATCCTTGAGGAATTGTCACACTGTCTTCCACAATGGTTGAATTAAATTACACTCCCACCAACAGTGTAAAAGCATTCCTATTTCTCCACATCCTCTCCAGCATCTGTTGTTTCCTGACTTTCTAATGATTGTCATTCTAACTGGCACGAGATGGTATCTAATTATGTTTTGATTTGCATTTCTCTAATGACCAGTGATGATTAGCATTTTTTCATGTGTCTGTTGGCTGCATAAATGTCTTCTTTTGAGAAGTGTCTGTTCATATTGTTTGCCCACTTTTTGATAGGGTTGTTTTTTTTCTTATAAATTTGCTTAAGTTCCTTAAAGATTCTGGATATTAACCCTTTGTCAGATGGATAGATTGCAAAATTTTTCTCCCATTGTGTAGGTTGCCTGTTTACTCTGTTTACATCAGGACTGTCTAACTGTGATTTGAGTGGGCTTTTTTGAAAGCTTACAAATTCCTGATTACTGTTAGTAGAAGAGGAGATTATTTCTACAGTGTGACTCTGGGCAACGTACCTCTGCTTCCTTAGCAGTCAATTGGTAATGGAATCAAATGGACAAATGCATTGTTAAGGTTGTAATGAGAGTAAATGCTTAGGTGAGAGATCAATTTCTCATGAAATCTCTGCAGAGTATTGTACTTGCATTCTTAATAAGCTGGTCATTAGCAGAAAGATGGAAAAATGCTAATACAAACGCAAATTCATGAAAGGAGGCTATATTTTAGAATATGGACCCCGAAGCAAGAAGCCTGGGCTCAACTCCAGACTCCATTTACTGTTTGTTCTTGAGCAATTAACTATATGTCTCTGGGTTTCTGTGTTCTTATGTGCAAAATGGCGCTAATAAAAGTAACTATCTCATTGGATTGTTGTGAAGATCCAAATAATTAATAATGCATGTACTGAAAATAAGTGTCTGGTACACAACTTGGGCTCACTAAATGTAATAGTAGCCACTATGATTGAGCACCAGAAAACTCTTTTTTAGCTACTATGTCTTAATATAGGAAAATTAACTAACATAGTATGGAACAGGGATGAAGCATTTTCAGGATGGAGGTTGGGGGTTTGCAACACCAATCCTCTCTGTGATTGAAGTGCTTCTGACTGCCAAGGCTAACTGCCACAAATCAACTGTGAAGAATCCTCTGCTAATCTCTGTTCTTTTCACTTTCACCATGCTTCTCACATGGGCCAAAATTACCCTTTTATTGCCTGCCAATCAAAGCTCTCCCTTTTTCACCATGAAGCAAACGGACCACAAATTGTACATCTTATGGTCTTCAGTTCTTGACAACTCTATTTGTTTCCAGTTTTCTCTGTCTTGAGTCATTTTGGAATGTGGAGGGTTTTAGAAATCTAGTTTCCATTCCTTCAACACATTTATAGTGAGTATCTTTCACATATAAATATACTTGTGAAAATTAAATGAAAACCTTGTCTCAAACTTTGATAAATCTGTACAATGCATGTACACAAAATGTTTACCAGCACCTCACTGTCCCATCACTGGATGTGTGATGTAGATAAGTTGTGAATTTTAAAATAGACATCTTGAAAGCAGTCACAAAGCATAACACTGAGGTGACTTACAATGAAAAATTACTATTAGAATTGCAAATGACAATGTAAATTTGATTTAAAACAAATAAACCCTGTTTCATCAACAGTTTCGAGAGTTGCTTAAAGAAATAAATCACTTGCCTTATATAACTGTTTGAAATAATGAATTATGCCTTGACAGCTGTGTCATTTCAATTAAAACAAGTAAGAGAGAAGGCCCTTATGCCCTCTTTGGGGATGGATGGTTGTTTTAAGCTAGATGGCAGTAGATAACAATTTGAGAGAAATAGAAGGTTATTTATGAATATTGATAGACTCAAATTAAAATTTAATCACAATGTTCAGTCAACTTGTCATAAACTGAGTTCTTGGAAATCAGAATGTAACAGGAGCAAAGCATCTTTCCTCAGAATATTTCACCTTTTTCATTGACGAGTAACAACAATCACTGAGTGTATGAACCTGAAGTATGCTGCAATCTGTGCAGATTTATTGCCAATTGTAAACTGAGGGAGGCTAAATCATTACAAAGATAGACCTATTTTCTTTGAAATACCTTCAATCTGTGCCAACTATTAGGGCATCTAAGATAGAATTTAAATAATTACCACCTTCCACAAAATAGACAGAATCAATGAGAATGAATATAAAAAGTAATGCACCATTCATGGGTTTACAACATACATATGGTATGACATGACCAGAAAGTGAGATGTATGAGATTTGAAAATTATGGTTTCAGAAGTTGTTATTTAAGATATTCAGTAAGAAAAATAAACATACATATGTTAAAAATTCTAATTAAGTAAATAATTGAGATGTTAAATTTTATTCAGTTCAAATATACATTAAATACTGATATTAATATATAATACATGTGTTCATGTTATACATTATATTCTATGTTAATATAAATACTAATATATATTTATTTACCATATTAACCACTTACACATTCTTACAAAAATTGCAGGATTTGCCAATTATTTAAGTGTTAGGGAGGGAAGGTGAA